TGTTTATCTATTTAGTGGTATCTTACACGATGAATACCTAACTACTATTATCATTGTTTTTATCGCTAAAGAACAGTACTTATATAAAAGAAGTAAAAGTTTAGAAACGGGAGCTAGCTATTTCATTCCTAGAAAAAACGAAATCTAGAAGTGACGTCATGCGATATAAATAACATCTGTCATTAGACAAAATCCCTTATTACAAGACAAAAAATGTAAGAACTGTAAATTGAATACACTTTTAACACTCTTAAAAATTTCGCAAGGGGAATTCCCCTTCAGAGATAACAGCCTAAGAAGGCTTTTTTCCCAATTATACCTGCATTAATTTGAAGTATACGTTTGACAAAGCATAAAAAATATGTCGGCTGTGTAACCTAGAAGGCACAACATCCACATTTTGACGATCACTTTAGGTATAGTAAAAAGCATAATCGCTTCCTCTGTCCCTATATCCCCATGTATGCGTAAATCTGTAAACCTACGCAACAGATTTTGATGAGATTTTTTTAATGGATAGAGTGATTCAAGAGGCAGGAATATGTGTCTGAAAACATCCATTAAATAGTGGAGAAATTTTGTATCGGCATCGCACCCATTTGAAGGCGCGGCGGATCGCTATTTAAGTTATAAAATACTATAAGACATTCAATACAAAATACAGTTCTTTGACTTGACCTGCACCGCAACTAGGTTTCCAACCACTCAACGTACAACGCCTTATCAAAAAGTTATAATAATCGTCATAAAATTCATCTCTACACTACCACAAACAAAATTGCTAAACGGCACAGGCATACGGCACACCGATATAACGTTCTAACGGCACTAGTGTTAATTTTAAAACCAGATTTATTCAATATTCACACGCGGTGAAATATTAATCCTTTATTACTTTAAAATGGCCAATTTTACTAATACTAATTGATTCCCATAACCGCATGTTTTATAATAAAATTTCGTCGATGCATCCGAAAGGGCGCGATTAACGATTCGAGTTAAATAGTCAACAAACAAATATATAATCAAAATTGTATGTTATATTAATTATAAATTTACAATGTCAATTTGCACAGTTTATTTATTTTGTCTTCATTAAATGTATATTTTATTTTTTAATACGTTTTGATGCTATAGTTAATCAAATTTATTTATTTCAGTATGGTAAAGTATAATTGTAGTATTCGTTTTTCGGAAAAAGACCGTCGTCATCCCATTACAAAGCAAATACTCCCCTAAACCCATAGCTTAGCATTTACAGTCAAACGAAATAGATTAATATAAATTTCAATGAAAACGGTCGAAGGTGCAGTCTTTAAAATTTTGTTGGAAAATATCACTTGACATATTTGACACATATTAAAAGGTAAATAAAAGCTTAAAGAGATATGTTTCAGTTAGTACAATTTCATTTAATGATTTTACGATATACAGAATGTGCGTTTTCCTTGATAATTTTCAGAAATGTATCATATTTGATATTTAAAAACGCATTCAAATCTATTGCGTAGTTTACATAAGGATATACGGACAGAGAAAGCGAATTTGTTTTATACTATCTATTGAAGTATCTAATGGCAATTTTATTATTTTACGTAAAATACAACTTGTATTCCTCAAACTCTTTGTCAATTTTTTTTTATAATTCTTAACTTGTTTTTGCTCATGGCGAAGGCTCAAACGTACAAGGCAATTTGTTAATTTAATCAGGTATATGTTAAGTAATATATGTATGTATAAGTTAGATTATATCATGACAAAATTTAAATGTCTATAAATAAAATCCAATAATATTAAAATGACATTTTAGAAGAATGAAATCGTGTTATAGTATTTGACGATTTCCTTCCATTTCTTTATTAGTAAGTAACAACAAACTTATTGTTTGCAATGTTAGAAAAACAAAACCAATCGACAATGTAATAAAGTATCAAAAAATTTGAAAAAAAAAGGAATTAAAAAAATGACGACGTCATCAAATTTACTTCACACCCCAATCCTGTCACACTAAGCGTGCTTATTTCATAATTTTATTTCAACCTAAAATATTAACAATCTTTCATAAAAAATATAGGTACATTCGTCGTTAAAAAATACCATTTAAACCTCATTTATACCTCAATAATTTGAACGCATATTAACATAAATTATTACTGGCAACATTTTTTAAATATAAACACCATTAAATGCGTTTTTATAAAAGGAACGCGCGAATATACGCATTTAGGTTAAGGAGCGAATCCGAGAAACCTAAATGCCGTTACAAAACTCTATAAACACTACAATTAATAAATATTTTGCAAAATATTACAGTTTTAAGATAAGTCGCGGACTACCCGTTCCTTAGACAGCTTGTTTTCATATTCTTGTTTGACAAACTCACGCGATTAAAAATCGTAGTTTTAAGTGTAGAGCGGTCAAGGCCTCGAAAAAGATAGACTAGTAATAAAGAAGGTGAATTAACCGTATTTTTAAAATAGGTAACACTGCGTAGTGTTGCAATATACTTTAAAAAAATCTACGAATGGATGTCCATCAATAGTTAAACGTATTAGTATTTATAATTAAATAGTTGTGGCTCACGTATAAACGTTTCGTTATTGTCATTGGATTCACTTTGTTTTTAAATAAAGGCATTTAATTAATTCCGCGTTCGATTGTATTTTCACTCGGTTTAAATAGTTTACCATAATAATATTATATAAGTCATATTTTGATATATAAGACATTTTTCGACCATTTCAGCTTTTATTAATTAATATTGTATTCAAATATTTTTTTAATTATTTATTATTTAATGACGCTTCTTCTTCTTGCTGTTTTTTTAGTCCACACTTATCATTAGAACTTTTTATGAAATATAAATTTAATTAACGAATTCAAAAGAAACTCCGAAATAAATTAACCTAAATGAAAATCGTCTCATTACGGAGCTGATGAAAATGTATCTGAAAGCTATTTCCGTAGGTACCAATTAGCGAGGTGTGAATTTTCAAAAAGCCGCCTCCCGCCGGCTGGAACCTGAAAAACTTCATTATAATTCACGCCAATCATAATTAATATAAGTGTTCGCTTGCATAGTTTTCAGCCGATAATACGCTTAATGACATGACAATCCGTAATGAATAAAGGATAAATGAACCAAAAAAAGTTTAAAGCCTCTATCAAATACATTTAAGCGTTCCGTTTAAATGCCGATAAGGTATTCAATTATTTAACGAGGATTAAGCCGCTTGCGATACGGTATTCTTAAATTCGTGAACCTATTAACATAATGTTTTTTTTCTTCATATTCAAGTATCCGAAGTCATATACAAATATTTTTTTCTGATATTAGTCCAATTTACCCCGCCTACGCGGACCGTCGGCCGTGCTACAGTGCTACGGCGCTACAGCCGACGCTACGGGCTACGTCGTAGCCGTCGGCCGCTTACCTAGTAGCGCGGCATTACAGTAATTTGTAAAGAAAATTGTAGCCCATTATATAAATTGTACTGAAGACCCGATGCAAATCGATGTGTCGTACTGAAGCTATTTATATCATTAGACTAATGCCTCTACTTTCCTTCAGTTGTAAAATTATTCGAACGTCAGGAATTCTTAAGGTAAAGTTATCCTGACCCCTTAAACGGCCGTTTAAGCTTAACAATCCTCTATTGGTTTTATTTTTAGTTTCTAGTTGCCGACGGGAAAATCTACACGTGTGTTACTTGCTCTAAGAACTCGATACAAACGTACCTACGAATGAATTTTTATACGGAAGAGAGGTTTTTTTGTACACACAAAATTAATTTTACTTTTTTTTATCTTAAAAGTAGTATATAGTTTTTAAAGTAATAAATAAATAATTTATATTAATAAATAAATCATTTATATTATATGGGACAGGCAAGCATACCTAACATTAATAATATTAATAGTAGTTATCATATGATACTGGTATACGAGTAATTTCACCATGTAGTTAATCCAAGCTAATAGACTGACATAACCGTTAATATAATACTAGGTGGCAGCAATCACAGTTGAATACATAATATACTATATACCACCTATATATAATGTACAATGATACATATAATCAAACTGAAGAATTAAAAACTCTTTTTTTTTTCTTTTATTTTAATAAATCCGAATTTCAACCGTTTAATTTTTCACAACTGCCGTTTTATTCAAAAGAAAAGAAAAAATCATTACCTAATATATAAACCTTTTTATAATAAAAAGGATTAAAAACTTATTTTACAGAAAACTTTTTTTAATATTTTTTTTAAATAAATTTATAGCGTTCTATTTTCAAGTTATTTAAAATTTATTGGACGTAAGTTGTTAAACAGTTTATGAGTGAGTGATAAAAGGATACTAGCCGACGGCGGCATTTCACTCTACGTTCGTCAGTCCCGGGAAAAACTATTTACTCGAAAATAGACCGTAAATACTACTATCAACGACTATATTACCAAAGACACCATTATTTTTTATTACGGCGAGAAATAAATAAAATTATTGTAATGTTGTTTCAAAAATATAATATAATTTTGGTGTCTAATTAATTGCCCTAGTGGCTTGATTGCAGTTTTTTTCGGCTATTTAAATTGAAAATGTGTTCACAATGATAATTTATTTAGGTATTAAAATTATTATTTTGTAGACTTTAAAAATGTTAACAAGCTATTATGACGACATCGAAATATTTGACTGGTAAATTAGGTGTCATGTCATTATTGTATTACTTGAATAATTTTTCACCGAAAACTAAACAAAACGAACACACGAACAATTTCGCTGACAAACAATCCCCCCATGGAGCTCCATGTAGTCGCTAAGGCAGGCGCTAGCGAGAATATAGTCACATCGCTTAGCAACAATATATACATATACATAATATGCTGAAAAAAAGTGGTTAGAACGTCCTGAAATATAAATAATATGTATCGAACGTAAAGAGCCTAGAGTTATTTGATTAAAGACGTCTCCGACCGCGCGAAGAATGTATTTATTTATAATGGCCGGTGGTGTTTTCGTCGAGACGCGGCCGAGTGCGCGACGTCAACAAGCGCGACGTACGCTCGCCGACCACGACAGGTCAGAGTGAAGGCTATTGTATAAAGTAGAGTACTCACGGACGGGTTGGGGACGCACCGCCGCGGGTCGGAACTCCGGTACGTGGGGCTGTACCGGCCCGGGAAGCACCCTGGTGGCGCCATGAGCCCCCCGCCGGATTTCATCTTATCCGGCGAGTACATCGCACATGACCCCCACGGGTCGTCCTCCAATTTCAGCACCTTTGAAGGTGAGTGATACTGCCGGTCGAAAATTTTGGCGATTTTTATCGTACTTTCGGGTGATAAAAATGGCGGCGGTGCCGCGACCGTCCGCTTCGCCGGGTAGTGACCGACTGAAGCAGGAAAGCGGTGACGTCACGGGCCACGCCCTCGCCCCTCCACTCGCCCCCGCCTACCGCCCCCCTCACCGTCTCACGCATGTTTACGTCGCCGGCGGCGGGTTCACGAATTACTGAATTATTTAATTGGTCCATTCACTTCTCCTGCTTGTTACCTTTTCACGCTTCTCTAAAAAGGTTGACGGATGGCCTGCGACGATCGACGCTGGCTAATTGCGCGACAATCGATACGCGAGGGACCGAGTTCTGGTCGGAGCCAGACTGACACCGCCGTGCTATACAGGTGCTGCGTACCCATACACACGTAAACGTAGTGGTGCCAGGCCGCGAACATGCGTGATGAAATTATAAACTACTACAAATTACTAAAATTTTTAATGATAAAGAATACGATGATGAACTTCCGTTCAAATTAATACCAATTAATACTTATAATACCAATAAATACACAAACTATACTAACTATAATATAAATTCGTATTAATTGGTGGTCACGGTAACTCCGCCATTGCCGGTCCCAAGCCCGGATGCAAAAGGAGGAGGGTTGGAGTGGTAGATGACGAAACCAACCGTAAAAGGTCAACGCCGAGCAGTGGGCGGCGGTCAAGTAACCCACCTCCGTGTCCACCCAGCGATCACGAAGCGGCCTCCAGTGACCGTGAGGGATTAAATTCCCCTCTAAAAGACTGACATGGAAGGACGCGGGACCCCACCATGTTTATATTCCCAAGAAAGCCACCTCATGATGAAAGGAAATAGATGTATTGTGTTGTCGGACGCCCCGGCTGACACCCGGCGCCACCCGGTATCCGGGCCGCGTGGTGTGAAATCTGCTACCGATGCTTCCCGGGAGATAGAGCACCAGGTCTCCCTAGGAAGAAATGCTACTGGTACTAAAATCTCATTACGTGCACATCATCGTATTGGAACCTGGAATGTAAACGGAATACTCCAGCCAGGAAAGCTGAGCATCGTTGACAATGAAAGAGAAAATCACAACATCTCTATACTGGGCATTAGTGAAACCCACCTTCGTGGACATGGCCATTTTACTACCACTACTGGAAATACTTTGTATTTCTCAGGAAGAGACGACTCTAGCAGGAATGGTGTTGCCATACTTTTGCCGTCCAAAATGAACAAGTTTGTCCTCGGATACAATCCCGTATCTGATCGAATCATCAGCATGAAGCTAAATACTAAACCATGCCTTCTTAATATCGTGCAAATTTACGCTCCTACAGCACAAGCTTCAGATGAGGATATCAATGAATTCTATGGGAACCTAGAGAAAACACTAGATAACATACCTAGCCGGCAGATCACAATCTTACTCGGCGACTGGAATGCAAAGGTTGGCAACACGGGGCTGGATCACACCATCGGAGACGCGATCGGCAAATATGGTCTAGGCATTGGAAATGAGCGTGGCCAAAAGCTCATCGAGTTTTGTATTGGTAGGAAGCTAAGTGTCATGAATACTTACTTTAAACATCACCATAGACGCCTCTACACCTGGAGATCTCCAGGCGATCGTTATAGAAATCAAATCGACTACATTATGATAAATACTCGCTGGAGATCTTCCATTACAAATGTGAAGACATTTCCAGGTGCCGAATGTGGTTCCGACCATATGCTGCTGGTCGCTTACCTATCACTGCGCCTAAAAGCGACGAAAACACACTCACGACCACCACCCACAACTTTGAACCCTATTGAGCGCCTACACTTCCAGAACGCGATCGAAGACAAACTCACTGAAAACCCAACACCTCCAACGTCTAACGCTGATACTCTCTGGATTGATCTGGAAAAGAGAATCCGTGAGTCTCTTTCTGAGATTGCATCGAAGCGAAAAAAGGACTGTAAGAAAACAGCTTGGATAACGGACCACACATGGGAACTCATCCAGAAAAGGAAGGATATGAAAGTGAGAGGGCTACAAAACCATGACGTAATGAAGGAATATTCTGACCTTTGCCGAGTCATAAAAAAAGAGTGCCGTCGGGACAAAAATACCTTCATTACTAATATATGTCGCGAAGTGGAAACCCATGCTATGAAACAACAGACATCAGATCTATTTAAGAAGGTCCGCCTATTAAGTAGACAATTCAAGCCCAAATCATGGGTCATCGAAGACATCGACGGGAGATCACTGCACGAGCTTGACGCAATAGCAGAGAGATGGCGCTGCTACTGTGAACATCTCTACAAGAAGCCCATCTCAATAGATCCTGAGATTACCCTACTAGACTGGCCTGTTCTGGACCTGGAACCCGACATTCTGCGGTCGGAGATTGTAGCAGCCATTGGAGCACTGAAAACTAAGAAAGCACCGGGTCCAGATCAAATAACAGCTGATGTGCTAAAAGCTCTAGGGGAAAAAGGTGTTGATACTTTGCACAATATCTGCAATCATGTATGGCGGAACGGTGAGTGGCCCAAGACTTGGACTCAGTCGATTATCCTTCCTTTACACAAGAAGGGTTCGACGAAAAAATGCGAGAATTATCGCACACTCGCCCTAATTTCACACGCTAGCAAAGTCCTGCTATACATTTTAAACAAACGGGTTCGTTATTACCTAGACTGGCAGATCCCACAAGAACAGGCCGGTTTTGTGAAGGGAAAAGGCACCCGTGAACAGATACTCAACATCAGGCAGATTGTGGAGAAATGTTATGAATTCGACACACCAGTCGTGATGTGCTTCGTCGACTATAGCAAGGCATTTGATTGTGTCAGTTGGAGCTGTCTCTGGAGAGTGTTATCGGAACTGGGTGTACCTCGCCATTTAACTGCACTTCTGCAGTCATTATACAGTAGCAGTCAAGGAATGGTGAGGATTGATGGGACAACATCCAAAACATTCAGTTTTGAAAAAGGAGTTCGGCAAGGCTGTATTCTCTCGCCCATTCTGTTCAATATATACGGCGAATACATAATGAGGCACACCTGTGATGACTGGGATGGTGGCATCGCCGTCGGCGGACAAAAAATTTGTAATCTGCGTTACGCAGATGATACCACTCTACTAGCGTCAGATGAAGCAGAAATGTTCGCCTTATTGAATAGAATGGAGCGCATCAGCGGAGAACTGGGACTCTCGATAAACAGATCCAAAACGAAGATCATGGTTGTAGATCGCTCAGGCAAGCTTGAGCTCACTGGGACACTTGATCTGGAAGTAGTTGACAGCTTTATATACCTGGGCTCAGGCATTAGCAACAATGGCTCTTGCGAATCAGAGATACGAAGAAGAATTGGGATGGCAAAAGGAGCCATGGCACAGCTTCAAAAAGTATGGAAGGACAAGAACATCTCGTTAAAAACAAAGAGCAATCTTGTGCGCACAGTGGTGTTCTCCATATTTTTGTATGGCGCAGAGACGTGGACCCTGAAGAAGGCCGATCGTGACCGCATTGATGCCTTCGAGATGTGGTGTTGGCGAAAAATGCTAGGGATTCCTTGGACGGCACACCGCACCAATGTATCGATCCTCCAGGAGCTTAAGATCCAGACAAGGCTCTCTTCCATATGCCTCCGCAGGATTCTGGAGTTTTTTGGACACACTGCCAGAAGGGGTAATGATAACTTGGAAAAGTTACTAATCACTGGTAAGGTGGAAGGAAAGAGACCTAGAGGCAGAAGTCCGATACGCTGGACGGATCAGATTCGCACCACTCTCAACACTACAGTCCACGATGCTCTCCACTCGGCGGCAGATAGAAATAGATGGCGGAGAGTAATACGCAGTACACTGCTTCCACGAGGTGGTCACGACCCTCAGCACTGAGGAAACCGACGCGAGGAGGAGGAGGTGGTCACGGTAGCAATTAGCCTGATTAATCTAGGTCGGTGAGTTCTCGAAAACCGCATGATGTTTCTGTGAAGTAAATGTTAGTAGGACCAGTTCGAGTTGATGGTTGGACCGGTACATTGTCAGGGTGCAGGGCCATGTGTGTCTATACTATAATGTGATGGCAGCCTGCTAGTCGCGTGGCGTTGTCGACAAGGTCATGCGGAGTTAATGCACTGCGATGCCATTTCAAACGTTCATACGTTTCAAGAATTACGCAGGCTATTTTCAAGTGACCTTTGCATTTGAAGAAGTTTTTATTTATAAATTTATACATTTCACATTGATATATGTACAGTCAAAATCGCTATGATGGTCGTATAGTTGAAAGCGCGGCTGCCGAGTAATAGTAGTAGTTTCAATACCCGAGTAGTAAATTTATTCCTTTCTTATTTAATTATTCGCTTCCATTCAATGTACCTTACGGTCTAAACCTTTGGAAGGCCTCCGAGAAGCCAAAGCCAAATTGTAGAGGCTCTTTGAATCTAGTTTGTCGTTTTTAAATAAATCACTCATAGTATAAACTACTATCTATGTATAAAACTATCAAAATACAAATGTTTTTGTCTTGCAGCTTCAAATGCGTGTTATTATAAAAGAAATAATCTATTTTTCATCAAAATGAGAATCAATAATAAAACCTTCGATTTAAACCACAAAAAAGGATTAAGAAAAAGATATTAGTATCTACATCACAATTGTTTTGTATACGTAATGTTCAAAACGGAATCGCATTACTTACTTTTTGGTGTTTCCGAATATTATTTATTGGTAAACCACATATAAAATTGGATGTCGAAAATTTAATTGAGTAACGTAGATAATAAATCGCGTTATGAACCAATCGAATTACATTCGATGTTTTACCAAACATGTTCATTTTAATTCTAGCCTATTTTATGAATAAGTTCACTGGCAAATTATTTATATTCCCTCGATTTGGTTTTATTTGCATGTATCACTGTATTTATTTATTTTATTTATTTACTTCAAGGGAGGCTTACAGACTAATAACATCTTATAGATAGTAACTAACTGTAGTTTTAACAAGTTGCTAATAACAAGCCCCCGCATATGGGTAAGCAAATATAAAAATATATTGAAGACTAGTACCTATTATATAAATATTTCATGCATCGAAGAAAGATTTGGCCATTAATCGCATTACTCGGAGTATTTATTTATTTTCGCTTCGTGCACAAGAAAATGTGCATAA